CAAGTAGCTGGGACCACAGGCACCTGCCACAATGCCCGGCTATTTTTTGGTTGCAGCCGTCATTGTTGTTTGGTGGGCCAGGCTGGATTCGAACCCGCCACCTTGGGTGTACGTGGCTGGTGCCTTAGCCACTTGAGCCACAGGCGCCGAGCCTCGATGTTTTTTTCTACCAGTAGAGAAAATGTACTTGTCCAACACATTCATTCTCACTTACCTGTTCCCCTTGAATATCAGAACATATCTTTAGCTAACTGATCAGGCTAACTAACGCGAGGGTATGTGAAAGCATATTGGTGCACATCTGAGAGCTAATGTTGAAAAATGCCTGCTCCTTAGCATTCAGTGTGTAAACCGTGTAAGTCTCAACTCTCTACTGACTCTATCTTTGCATGGTTTCACAATGAGAGAAGTTTAGTTGGCATCCAAAATAACTGAGGAGAAATCTAGATTTTTTTAATTGAAGTCTCTTAGAAAGCACTAAATGAGAAGGAATGAAAAGGATTTGACATTCTCGTTTCCCATCCTATGTACTTTTACTGTGTGCATCGCGTCTGCTCTAAAGTGTGTCTCCTTCCTCCCTCCAAGTTCTTAAGTCTTTTCCCCAATTCAGTCTACTTAGGCGCTAATGTTGCCTCCCCTATTTCTGTCTTGATTCAATGTTACGTAGACTAAGTCTCTCTGGTTTCTTTCTTTTGCCTATCCTGTCATTACCCCAGTTATCTTCCCACCTCCAGCAGAAGTTGATGCAACATGTAAGAATCCTTTCTTGTGTAGGGGAGGAAGGTGGGAGAATGGGGAAGATGGTTTACATTTGAAACTCATTTCTTTTGTCTTAGACATCAGTGCAAAGAAAAACACCACATTCATTTGAGAGCTAAGCATACCTTCAATTTGAGAGTGTATCTTTTTTGATTGACTTGTCCAATTAAACTGCACACCTGATTAATTTGCTACTATAAATTTTACACACATTAGTCAATACATAGTTGCTTTGGATTATAGTCAGCCAGTTAATTCATAACATACACACACAGACACATACAGATCACCCTTTTGATGTTTAGTTTTTATTTTAATTGAACTGGTTGTTAAGTGCCCAAGTAGAGAGCTTGGCTCAGAAGGAAGAACTTTAAGCCCCAGGCAAATGGAAAATTGATTTGCATAAAAGCATCTTGGCATCCTGGTGAAAGTTTGGCATGTTCTAAATCCTGTAAGTACTTAGCTTCTCTCTTTTTTCACCTTAAAAACCTGGAAAACAACCTCCAGGGAAATGTTGTCATGGGGTGGTTGGAGTAAGGCACATTGGTAAATGTAAATTTAAGAAGTCTTTGGTCTTTGTTCCCACAGCAGGGGATCTTGATATGTCACCTGACAGGAGGCCACAGGTGTGTACATACAGGGATTTCAAAATGTGCCAGGCCAGACTCCCAGGAGCCAATAATCCCAGAATGATTGCTGCTGAAACTTGCCTGGGTTCTAAAAGCGAAGAGAACAGCACAGGCCCCTCAAACCTGTAAATATCCCTCTAAAAATTTCCATCAGTGATTAAAAAAAAAACTTGATCGTGATAAGACAACAAATGGCCATGATAAGACAACAAATTCCCTATTTGGGCAGCAAGTTTGTCTTGCCAGAAATAATTATCACCCATTATAAAGAGATCTGCAATCAATCACTCAGCAGTGACTAGAATCACCCACACAAAGAATCTCCAGCTGCAGAAGAAACAGCCGGGGAGCTGGGAGCCAGGTCGTTCCCTGGCTCTGTCATCAATTACTTGTGTGACCTTGGCCTTGAAGCACCTTCTAGGTCTCTGATATGAACACCTGAGTAATCCAAGATTTGGAACCAACATACACATGAAAACTTTATACAATAGCATGAGAAACAAAAGTATTTTCTGTCTCTGAGTCTTGCTTTTAACATTTGTAAAATGAATGGGGGCAGAGGGGAGAGCATCATCTCTTAAGGGGGGGGAGAACTTGTGGCTTTCTAGGTCTCTAAGTGCAGGTTTTTGGCTGAATCCAAATTTTATGGGACAAACTCATCAAGAATAAAGTAAGTTTCAACAAAATAATCCTCCGAGATTTATTGGCATAATTAGACAATTAGTAAGCCAGAAGGGCTAACTCCATGGCTCCTGCACTCATGATTCAGTTCTCACTTCCCCTGCCTGACAGGTGCTGCTATTGCATGGGGCCGGTTGGTGAGAGTTTACGGGGGTCAAGTATGCCAGTCTAGCATCTCCTTTTGACAATGGTGCAACGTTTGAAGTGGAATTTGTGAATAGTTGCACAGCTTGATAGTATGTTTAAATTCTGTGTGCTTAACAGCTCATCCTGCCAAAGAAAACCAGGAGAAAATTGGAGGAAGATTTTTCAATGAAGACTCAGCTGCTTAAACTGGCCCACAAGTACAGACCAGAAACAAAGCAAGAGAAGCAGCAGCGACTGTTGGCCCGGGCTGAGAAGAAAGCTGCGGGCAAAGGGGATGTCCCCACTAAGAGACCACCTGTCCTTAGAACAGGGGTTAATACTGTCACCACATTGGTGGAGAACAAGAAGGCTCAGCTGGTGGTGATTGCACATGATGTGGATCCCATTGAGCTGGTTGTCTTCCTGCCTGCCCTGTGTCGGAAGATGGGGGTCCCTTGCTGCACTATCAAGGGGAAGGCCAGGCTGGGGAGTCTCGTCCACAGGAAAACCTGCACCACTGTGGCCTTCACGCAGGTTAACTCGGAAGACAAAGGAGCTCTAGCTAAGCTGGTGGAAGCCATCAGGACCAATTACAACGACAGATACGACGAGATCCGCCGTCACTGGGGAGGCAATGTCCTGGGTCTGAAGTCTGTGGCTCGCATTGCCAAGCTGGAAAAGGCTAAGGCTAAAGAACTTGCCACTAAACTGGGCTAAACGTACACTGTTGAGTTTTCTGTACATAAA